GGGGAGGGGGGGGGGCAGAGGGGGGGCGCACCCGGCGGTTCCCTCGAGCCACCCCCTGGGGCCGTGTGGGACTATTCGCGTCCCATGTGAGCACTCACGTCATGACGCCTGGCGCCACACAGATCCCTGGGCCCAGTGGTGTCAGCCGATCATGGCCCCCTCCCGTGCTGGCCAGCTGGGCAGCCGCGCGCCTCCTCCCCGCAAAATCCATGTTATATCAAGCGCACCACTCGGGCGCCCCCTTCCTCCCCTGCAGCTGTACTACGTGCTGGTGCTGGTGGGGGCCACGCTGGTGTTCTGGCGCGACAGCCCCGCGGGGCTCATCGCCATCTCCATGATGTGCGGCGGGGACGGCCTGGCGGACATCGTGGGGCGGCGCCTGGGGGCCGGCAACAGGCTGCCCTGGAACCCCGCCAAGAGCTGGGCCGGCAGCGCGGCCATGTTCCTGGGGGGAGGCGCCATGGCCATGGGGTGCGCGGCCGGGGCGCGGCGCGCTGGCTGTTCTTTTCGGGGGGTGGGGTGGCGGCGTCGCGGGGTCTGTCTCGCGCTTCCTTCCCAGGCTTCGGGCTTGCACAATGCCCATCCCCCCAAACACACCCTCACAAACACATACACACCCACACACACACAAACACACACACACACACACACCGCGCAGCTTCATCGCCCTGTTCTGTAGCCTGGGCTTCTTCCCCTTCTACCCTCCCGCCACCCTGGTGCCCATCGTCAGCACGGTCTGCCTCGTGTGCACCCTCATAGAGTCACTGCCCATCAACGACTGGCTAGACGGTGAGCAGGGCACGCGGCCCGTGGCAGCACACTCCCCCGCTGAGCCACCCGCTACACGCAGGCGCGGTGCCGTCAGGAGCACGCCTTGCCGAGGGCGCGCCCGCACCTGCTGCCCGGTTGCAGCCGCGCCTTGCACGGCCCCACCGCCCAGTCTGTCTCGCCTGAAAGGCGCTCCCTGCGTGCGCCCCCACCCGCGCCACCCCAGACAACTTCTCTGTCCCTGCAGCAGCGGTCGGCGTGTCCATGCTGCTGCTACCGCTGGCCGCGGCCGCGGCTGTGGGCATCGCCGTGGACGTGGGGCAGGGCGTGGTGCCGCGCGTGCCCGTGCTGGCGCTCGCGCGCGCCCTGCCCCTGCGCTGAGTACTGCTTGGCGGTGGACTGCGCCTGGGCCCCCCGGTTTGGGTCCAGGCGCTCTGGCTCTGCTTGGCTTGTTTGTTGGCTCCACTGTCGGCAGTGTGGGATGAGGCGCGTCTCTTTTGTGCTGCGTGGCGCGCACAGCCAGGCTGATGTGCAGGCCCCGCCCCTTGCTGCGACCGTACAGCCCCGGCACGGTGTTGAACGGGCGGCTAGCTGTGTTGCGGGGGTGCCACTGTCTTGTCTGTCATGCTGCGGTGGGGACTATACACCGAGGTTGTGTGTAGCCACCCTGCCGCCAGCACCACCTCTGATTGCCACGGGTGGCGCCCTTCAATTTTGTGGCCGGCTGCGGGCCAGGGAGAGCTTCAGGTTGCTTACGGACTGGTGCGGGCGCCTTCAGGACGCAGCAGCCACCCTTTTTGCGCTAGCGTCGACTGCAAACGAGCAAGTGTCTAACATGCCGTCGCGATTGCTTGTTAGGCTTGAAACTCACATCGTTTGTGCTGCTGTTTGTGCAAGTAGCTGTCTCCCAAACCCTGCTCACACTGCGTTGGTTGGGCCCCACGTCACCCCGACGCTGCTCGGAACCTTGCAGACACCCGCGAGGCACGCTGATTGTGCCGATGTTGCCAATCATGCCGCTTGCACTTTGTCCCGGAAGCAGCCTCTCATGCGGGTTGCCTTTTACAACCCTTTGTGAAGGTGGCTTGCGGGCGTGGACCGCACCATCGCCTCTACCGACCCAAACCCTTGTGCGAGCCGTGCACTGCTCACGGACCTGCTATGATTTATGCAAGTAACATGCCTGACCGTTGCGCAGCGAACAACCAGCGGCACATCACACAAAAAACACAAAATTTATCGCAAGCACGCAACCTGCAGCATCGTCATGGTTGTGCAGCACAACCGGTGAGAGTCAATGGAAGCCACAAAGGACCCTGCATGCGCAGGCCTCGTCATGCGGCCAGCTTGCTGGCAATGACCCAGCCGTACGACACCACGGCCGCCAGCACAGCCAGGTTGTTGAGCGATGAGATGCCGTGCCACCTGGGGGGAACAGGGCACGAGGTGTGGGTGAGCAGAGGCGCGGCACCTGCATGGTGCAAGGGAACAGACCAGCACGTATGACGCACCCGACTTGGGAGAAGGGGCTCTCACAAAAAAGTCATGCTTCCCTCTCCCTCTCATGGCCCCCCTCCCCTTGCGTCCCCACAAGGGGCCCCGGGCCCTGGGCTCACATTCCAAACTTCCCGTAGAGCCGCTTGATCTCAGCCTGGAGGGGGAAGGGGGGGCGCGAGGGGGGGTCATTCAGCAGGTGTGGATAAGCGGCGGCGAGTGAGGCTGAGAGGTGCAGGACTATGGTAAAGTGCCGGGCTGTCCTGCATTCATGGTGTCGACGGCTTGCAGAGCAGGCCCACATTGGCCTGTCCTGGCGCAGGCCGCTCCGTGCTGCAACCGTGCGCTCAGCTAGCTACTTGCGAGGGCATTGTCGTTGCCCTGATGCCGTGCAGCCACGTGCAACATGCCCAATGTGAGGCGACCACTGTTGCAGCCCGTCAGGCGCCCCCGACAAGAGCCTGTCCACTAAAGCCTTCTGTCTTCACATCGGCCTCGTACGCGCTCACCTCGTCCTCTGACGTCTTGGATGGCTTGTTCTGTTGAGAGGAAGGGGGTCCGCAGCGCAGGGCGGTGCGGTCAGACTTGGGGCGGAGGGGCAGGCTATAGCAGGTGGAGCCAGCCACTGGCCAGAACCAAGGCACAGTGCATGTACTGGCAGTCAACAAACAGCACGTGCAGGCCCGGTGGTCTGATACAGCATGCTGCACATTCAATGTATCCACACGCACATGCACGCGCATGTTCAGCTCGCGTGCAATCGCAGGCGCCGCATGCACGCACACAAAGAGTGTGCCTGTTCCTCAAGCATTCCCTCGGCGTAGATCCACCCTCAGAACCCCCCTCTGCGCCCGCCCCCACCCCCCCCCCACACACACACACCTCGATGTCGTAGCGCTGGAACATGAGCCCCGTCACAAATGGCTCTATCGCCAGCCAGTTGAGCACACTCAGGCCAGACGTCACCAGCAACGCCACCACGCCGGGCGCGGACAGCACCAGGCCCGCGGGGGACAGCGCGTGGCCGGCCAGCAGCACCAGGGCGGCGCCCGTGGTCAGAGAGAAGTACCTGGGGTGGGTGAGAGAGTGGGGGTGGTGAGGACCTCGCGGGGCGGTACCGCTGGTGCCGCGCGTCGCGCAGGGGCGAGCGTCTGCCAAAGCAAGTGCTGCAAAGCAAAGAGCGACTATTGTGAGGCTCACTTGGGGAACATCTTGGACTGCAGGTGATACCAGCCGCACCAGATGGGGCGAGACAGTTGTGGCGGGTCAGCAGGGGTCACTAGTGAGTGAAGAGCACAAGCCGACCGGTGATGCTGCAGGGAGGGCTACAACGCAGTCGCTGCACACCACCATCATGCGGCTGGCCCTCACATATAGCCCATGCCATTCAAAGGCCCACCTGCACCCTGCCAAACATCTGCGGATCACGGGTGCATCAGAGGTCCGCCGATTTGGGATGAATAAATAAAAGAAGGCAGCAGGCGAAAATCACAGCACATGTGTATAGGCAGTGCGAAAGCAGAGCCAGTGCAGCACTCAAAATACAGGCCGAAATAATAGGCACTGCCCGCAGCTGCACGTAGTTGCAGAAGCAGCAGCACCAGCAGCAGCGGCGGCGGCAGCAGCACCAGCAGCAGCGGCGGCGGCAGCAGCAACGGCGGCGGCGGCCGCAGCGGCAGCGGCGGCAGCAGCGGCGGCAGAGCGGGAGCGCGACTGCTGCATCCGCTGTGATCCGCACCTGCCGCGGCATGTTTTTAAACATGGTGAGGCCCACTATGAAGGTGTTGAAAATGATGGAGCCCAGGAGGGTGCCGAAAGCCAGCACGTGCACAAACGCGGCACCCTGGGGGGACAGCAGCGTGGTGCCGCCCGACACCGCCGCCACAGCCGCGGCCACTGTCAGGGCCCGCACCTGGGAGGGAGGGCGGGCAGGGACGAGGGTAGATTGGACAAGTTGCACAGGAGCACATCCCCTCGCCGCAGACAAACTCAAGCCAGAAAGCTTATAAACCCAGGCTCACCGCTTGCAGCACGCATGGAACCAGACCACGACCTTCTCAGGACCTCTCGGCCCCCCCATCCCACCCACCACGTTGTTGTTAGCTGCCGAGGGCGCAAGCATATCGCCCTTGAAGTTCTCCCCGGCCCCCGTGCTCGCCGCAGCAGCATTGATTTCGACGCCGGCCCGCCTGCGCATACCGCTGAGGGGCAGCAAACGGCAGTGTCAAGCGGGATCCAGAAACGTGAGCGTGTTGCGTCACGCATGCATGCTAGGATGCAATAGACACAACACAAAAACACATCTGTACAACTGCGTCGTAGTTGCAGCATTCAAGCATCGGATGCATCAAACTGAATTGGCGCGACCACACAGCATCGCAACCGGCTCGCCACTCATTGTGCGACGCGCGCCAATGGCGCCGTACAGGCTCATCCCATCACCTTGGTATGCGGGAAGGAATCAAAGAAGAATTCCTCCTCTGCGCGGTGGAGGCGCGAAAGCTTGGGCGCGAGAGCTGCATCGAGTCGGAGGCCGCGCGCTCAATCAAGATCTTGTGCCTGGAAATCTCGGAGACGATACAGACTCGTCGGCAACCTTTACATGCCTACATCGCACAAGTCGTGTTGCCATTCGACTTGGCCCAGGTCTGCGGCAGTGACGCTGTGGTGCCAGGCATCACCCGGTGACAACGCAAATGAGCGGGCAACGCGAACAGGCTCCGTGAACCTGATACTGAATGATAAGGTCCAGCATCGACCACCCAACACCCGCCTCAAGACAATGAAATAGGAGAGGACTTGGGGCGCGACGAGCGGTCAATGAGTCAAATCTGCAGACGCGCTCGCCTTTGGGCGCCGCCAGCCCTGCATGCCTGGGAAGCTCTCCGAGCATTTGGCTTTCGAATCCTATCTGCCATGACCTAGATACATATTGTTACACAGGTGGCAGCAAAAGTGCACGGCATCATCCCTGTGCCTTGGGCCACTCAGCTCCAATAGCACCCCACTGCGAGTGCTTTGTGCAGCCACCATGACACAGCAAACTCACCCCTTTCAGCACTGACACTCACCCTTCCCAAACCAGGCCCAATTGCTCGTCACCCTTTCAGAGCTTCCGGCCGGCCCAATATTGAAAACACGCGCAGCTTGCGCATTGTACAAATGTGGTGCATTCGACCTCCGCCACGTTGGTCTCAGGTGCTACAGCCCAAGCACGGCTGCGGTCACTTCTCCTGCTGCTGCTGTTGTTGCTGTTGTTGCTGCTGTTGCCGTTGCCGCCGCTGTCTCTCCTCCTCGACCTCACTGCTGTGCCCGATCAGCAGCACCTGCCTCTCGTTCCACGCGTTGAAGCCGAGCACCAAGGCCAGAACACCATACAGCGCGTCATGCCCCACAGAGGGCTGAGCTGTCATCAGGTCTTCACAGCGAGGGCGTGGGGGAGGGGGGCGTGGACGAGCCAGCCATGTCATGGCAAACGCGTCGTATTTTGGTGCTTCGCTCACCACGGAAGCATGTCGTTTCTCTCCCCCCCCCCCCACACACACACACGAACGCAGGCAGCTGCGCACATGAATCGCTGCCATGGCCGCCCCCCAACACCGCCCACCCCCCATGCTAGAGCGGGTTTGGTGCCCCACGCCACCCCAGACAAAGCCCGCGCGCACCTTGCCCCACCACCAGCGCCAGTACGCCCGCCATGTAGGCAAACAGCCACAGCCGCAGGGGGCTGCCCACCTCCCGCTCAGCTGGCGTCCGCACCTTGGCCGCGGCCAGCCGCGCCGCCTCCGCCGCCTCTGGGTCTAGAGAGCCCCGCACCTGACCCGCAAAGCGGCCGGCCGCGCCCTCCGGCTGCCGCGCACCGCTGCCGCCTCCGCCCCGCTGCTGCTGAGCCGCCGCTGCGGCTGCGTCCGCCTCTGGCGCGTACAGTGTCTTGAAGAAGAGCCCCTTGCTGCGCGCCGTGGCTGAAGCGCGCTCCCACGCCGCCAGGTCCTCCCTGTCAGCCTGCAACGGCAGGGGGAGGGGTGCGGGCAGTGGGGGATTGGGCGGGCTGCAGGGGGTGGGCAGGGTGCAGGGAGTGGGTGGGGTGGACGCGGGGGCCCGCAGTGAGACGCGCACCGGTCAAGGTCGTGCAAAGGTCGGGTGCAATGGTCAGCACGGGTGGAGAGGCGCTGCGTGTTGCGTTATCCTGCTGCCAACTCATGTGCCATGCCCGACTCGCCGATCGCCCTCTGTTCACCTCCAGCTGCTGCTTCATGGCCGCGATCTCATCCTCCAGCTCGTTGAACTTTGACATGGCCGTAGACTGGGGGTTGACGGGGATGGGAGATGGAGGGGGGGAGGGGGTGTGGCGCTGCCATGCCGGGGCTGTTGGGCGCGTGCCTGGCCCGTGTTGGCTACAGCGCTTGGCTGACAGATCTGTGAAGCTGCTTGCATGCAGCCAAGGTGGCACCCCTGGGCGAGCCCTACCCGGGGGTGCTGTCAGGACCGCAGCCATCGCAGGCGCGACGAAGCGCCAGCCCCACCACCAGGCCCTCCGTAACCGCCGCCCACCAGGGTCTCCTGCGTCTCGAGCTCGTTGCGAAACCTCTCAATTCGGTAGCCCTCATCAAGCTCGGCGTGGAGCTGAGGAGAGCGCGGCGCGGGAAGGGGGCTCGCGCAGTGTGGTGGAGAGAAGGGGGGGCCAGGCAGCAGCGGGTCTGCGGCGTCACAGCTGTCAAGGGGCAAGACGCGGCCTGAGGCCTTCACCACTGCCTCAAATCACTTTTTGGTGCCAACGCAACAGTCTCACTGCACCGCAAGCACCCAGGGTCACACTCCGCCCCTGACCGGCAAGTACAAGGCGGTGCGGCGCTGCGTTTAAGGTGACCATGTGGCATGCCGTGAGGGATGTCATGCCGCCCGCACCTCCTCGCCGATCTGCTTGATGTCCTCAACTTTGGAGCGCAAGTCGTCCTTGATGCTTTCCTTTATCACCTCGCTCGTGAGCTGCAGCCGTAGCTGCTCCTCCAGCGCTGTCTGCACCGCCTCGTCGCCGCCGACGCCCTCAAACTCAGACTCTGATGAAGACGACGCACGCACGGGCCCCGGCAACCGCAACCGACGCATGACACTGCGAGTCCCTCGCCGAAGGGGCGCATCCCAGAAGACAAAGGGCAACGCCCGCGTCGACCCTGCTGATCTGGCCTGCATGCGTGCTTGCTCTTGATGGAGCCGTCGTTTCACTTGAACCGCTAGATGAGGGTGGGTGCTAAGCCGACGATGTCAGTGATCTTGAAGAACCGCTAGCTCGATCTGCACGATGCGGCCTCTGATGCAGCACCTTGCTGTTTGCCGACAGACTTGCATGTTGCTCCACGGTGGTGGGTTGCTCATGTAATCAGAAGGCCACCCTTGCTCCTGTTGCAGAGGTTGTGACCAGGTGGTGACATGTTCCGGTGTGGTGACAACCTATTGTTCGCACTGCAAACCATGCGTTTGACGCTTCAAGCTACCCTCACCTGATTGCGAGTGCGCGTAAGTCAACACGATGTATGATGGAGCTGCGGGGTGCGGAAGGCTGGGTGGGTATTGGATGCACAGTGGTACAACACACTCGTACTGACCCCTACTTTCCTTCCCTTGACTTTAGCTGGCAACAGTCAGTCGCTGCTCCCCCTCGGCACAACTCAAGGCTGATCCTTGCGGCACAGGGATCCATGCCTCTTCACATGAATAAACTCCATCGTAGAATGCATGCAATGACGATAAGTGGATCAACGTGAGGAGCCTGCAGTGGTCACCACCGTAGACACCGCACATGGCAGATGTGGCAAGCAGTGAGCTCAAAGCAGTTAGGGTATCCCCGCCCGTATCCTTTCCACCGGCGGCCCTCGATCCACCTGCGCAGTAAGCGGCAGGTCAGCCGGGGAAGCACCACGGGGCTTGAGCCGGAGTTGATGGGTGCAGGGTAAAAACGTGCCTATGCGTTCGGCATACGCATAGGCTGTAACGTTGAGCAGGCGCGGTGCGTTGCGGTGCCTCAATGCGGCAGAGCGACGGGTTGCCGACGGGCACGTTGCTTTGCCTCGTGCAGCCTGCCTCTCAAACCACAACCGCTTTCATTCGTGCCACACACAAAATAATAATCTCCCTCGTTATTAGCTATCCGCCCTATCCCGAACGCAACTGCTTAGTTCTTATTGTCACGAGGTGAGCGGGTCCATCAGATCTGACGCCAAAACAGCAACACTGATTAGATGAACATGGGGGCAAAGGCGGTATGTGCAGTTCCACTGTGTACCCTTAGACTCTTTGAAGGATCCACAGTTGCATACATCACTCTGCGGTAGCCCCCTACGCATCAGCGTGATACAGGAACCAATTCCCTGGTGAGTGGTGCAACTGCAGCGCCAAGTTCGTCGCGACCTGCGTGCGCTTAGGCGTGTGGGCTTGCTTACAAAGCGGCAGCGCACAGGGGTCTCAGATCCTTGGCCACCCTTCCGTCACGCCCGACTTCTGTGCATACGCACGCCGCTTCTGAGCAAGAGCGAAGTGTTACTCCTTGGCGCTATCGCGCATCCGGCAGCCAGTCTGAGAGGAAGCAATGCAATCGCACACATGCTGAAGACCCCAACACAGATCCTGTTGCACTGTCAACAAAGCTGAGCCTCCTCGCCGCCCCGCCCAATGTCAGCGGTTGGCTGGCGCCCAGTAATGCTGGCACCGTGCCCAATTCCTCTCAGCTCTCCCCATTGGTTACAAGTGCAAAAGTTCCTCCCACCGCACGCTGCGAAAGTGGACAGCCAAAAAATGTATTCTCGAGGTGCAAAGCCGACTGGGTGCGCAGATTCCCTCCTGGGCACCATCGTCAGTAACTCGGACACCCGTGACCGGGGGTCGTATCCTGGTCCAAAACAAGCGAGTACGGTAGCATAAAAGCCTTCCACACTCATTCTCTCAATCATTGCATTATTCCGGAGAAGTTCCCGACGTGATCAATCGTCGCTCGAGACAAGTTTGGGCTCTTTGTGCCGGGTGCGCGGTGACCTGCCCAGCGGCCTCCGATCCACTATGTGTGCTGATTGTGATGCATAACAGCAAGCGCTGCCGGTGCTCGGGCGCGCCTGACAAAACCCGCCGAGCAGCAGCCACCAGGGCCAGCCCTTAGGCCACCCTCGGCGGCACCCGGTCTGGGCACAGCTGCAGGCCCTAGCTCTCCTCAACGGCTTTGCAACACGCTGCTGCGAGCCTGTTGCTACTGTTGGATTGCAGGCACCAATTCTTCTAACCTGGAACTGCCCGTGTCACGCGCAGGTGCAGCTACAGCCACCACCGCACACTATGAAGCTCTCCATCGTTATCGCGGCTGCGGCTGCGCTGCTGGCGTTGTGCGCGGTTACGCCGGTCCAGGCCCTTGCCAAGGGTGACTGCATTGTCGGTGAGACGGTGCAATGGAAAACCTGTGGGCTGCCCCGGCACGGCACGTGCTCTGTGCGACCTTCGTCCCTCCCGGAGTGCGCGTGTGCAGGAACCTTGAGCCCAAACAGCAATTCAGCGCCAGGCACTGCAGGGCTCTTTGCAGCGCCCTGCATCTCCTGCAGCGTCTTTCACGGCAAGGCTGGCCTCCTGCTCCTGATTGCAGCGCAACCGCGTGCCCCGCGGCGTGCAGTGCGCACCGCTGTCACCCCTGGCACTCCCACTCACACACGCCTCCTGGGCCCTGAGCAAACCCAATTCCTGCCTGCGACTCTTGTCCCCCACAGAGCTGCCAATCACGGCGGGCGCCCTGGTCGGGCTTGACAAGAGCAAGTGAGCACCAGCAGGCATTGGTTCCGATGTGCCTGCCCACCACAGTTGCTAAAATTGCACTCGAGCATGATACCATTTTGCCGAAAGTGTTGACGGCATTGCATTCATGCGTTCGCTGCAAAGTGCCAAGTGATTGCAACCAAACACAACTTAGCCAGGTAGCCCGGCTGTCCGCGCAGCGCTTTCCACCTCATATTTTCACCAAACAACCTCAGCACGTCCTGTGACAAGCCCATGCCAATGTCCCCATGCGTCCGCTCTCAGGTTTGTCTACAAGGCCCCCTACACCGACTCCAAGGGTGCCGCCAAGAAGGTAGCCATCACTGTCACCCAGTCGTCAGCCTCCGACGGCGAGCGCGGCGCGGCGTCCGGCAAGGTCGCGGTGGTGTTCCCTGCGGGGACGCAGTGCAACTTCACCAACAGCGCGCTGGACAAGAAGGACCCCGGGTTTGCCGCCCTCAAGACTGCCCTCAAGGGCCTGACCATCGGTGGTGCCCCGGCCGGCTCCGGGTTCGGAAGTGAGCCGTCAGCCCGCCCCCCTCCCCTCCCGCCGCATCGACGAACTTGCGCGGGATTCGTGGTTTGTTCACAAGTCCTTGCACGCCTGTGCACGCAAGACGCACACGCGTACGGCCTCATCAGAGCTAATGGCAAGAGTTGCCCCCGCCCAATCGCACCCCTTCTCCGCCACCTCCCCCCACCTGCCTCCCCCTCCCAGTTGTTGTGGCCAACTTTGCCGGCAGCAGCTCCACCACAAAGGGCACCACCACCGCGTCATCTTTCAGCGTCACCGGCACCCTCATTGACGTGAGCGCTCGCCTGCAGTGGCGCTGTGCTTGCCTTGGGTTCGCTGAAGTGTAGAGCCGTTGTCACTGGCCTGCAAAGGGGTTCAAGGCTATTGTGAAGCCCCCACCAGCTCCAGGCAAGAGCGTAGTCATTCGTACATGTTCACACCCCCCCCCTTGATGTCCCCGTGCGCGCAGCTGGCGACCTCCACAGCTCTTCCCCTCACCCCCGGGGGCAGCAAGGGCTTCAAGCCCCAGTACACCTTCCCCCAGGGCAAGGTGCAGTTCCTCACCACCTTCTCGAAGAATGTGGGCAAGACACCCGTGTCTGGCAGCTTTGGCATCAACAGCACCGCCATCTCCGCTCTGCCGGCCGTAAAGACCGTCAGCTCGTGCAACCTCAACCTCAAGAAGGACAAGGCGTCTGGCGTCGCCAGCTTCAACCTGCTGTGCCAGAATTGGCGCGTGCAGGCAAGCTATTGACAGCATTCCCACTGGCCCCGGCTGGGCATAGGGGATGGGAACATGCCGAAATGCTTGGGCATCTTGGGTTGCAAGCAGTCTCGTAGATCGAAATGCCTGAGCCCTCCTCCGTAAATCCCCCCCTGTCTCCCGCAGCTGGCGCCCTACGTGGCGGGCGACCTCACCGCCCAGATTGTCTTCAAGCAGGCGACCGGCAAGGCTGCTGTCTCCATCAAGGCCACCGCCCCCCTCACCTCGGCCCGCATTTTCTAAGCTCATGCACTCGCATCAATGGCCTTGCTGCAAGCAAGCAGCCCGAGCCGTGTGCATGACTGCAGATCACAGCCTGACCTTGATATGCGCCCGGCGCAAGCCACTCATGCACGTGCAGCGAGTCGGCCGCCAGATTCCCACATGCATGAGCAGAGCTCGCTGCTGTACGCCCCATGACCGATCACCATTGCCGCATTTGTCAGACCACCGTCAACACATCCTGGCCCGCCAGCCTCACACGCCGCTGCATCTCGTGTGACCTTTGTGCCTGTCGCTGGTCCCCATGTTTGGCAGCCGGCGTGTGCTCTTGATTGGAAGAGCGCTCGCGGCTGACTCCTGTTGTGACAGTGCTCATCATCGTCGTCCACATCGGAACCTTGGGACTGCCACAAAATTCCACACATGGCTGCGTGTCAGTTGTGCTGCTGGCCGAGCTGCATTCCTGTGAGTGCACAATCGCATATCAGCAACATCTGTCAAAGCGGCACAGCTGGCTGTACAGGTGTGCACGCGCCCACCTTTTGTTGGCCACACATGGCACCTTGCATGGTGATGTGCGTCAGCAAAGGTTTCCCGCGCCCCGGGCTGAATACCGGAGTGCTGGGAGACCCCATGCGGGCGTGGCTATGGTGACATTTGCAACGCCCATTGCACGCACAGTTATGCCGGCAACCTTTGGAACACAGCTGGTGTTGTGCCGCGGCGGCGGGCCTTGGCCTCTCTTGACACGAGGGCTATTTAATCATTTGCATGTGCCGGCCTCTGGCACCAGGAATAGAGGGGAAGAGAGTGAGTAAACAATGCAGGAAAATGCACCACCCACTACTTGTCCACGGGTATGTGGGCGCAATATCTGGGTTGAGGGTTGAGGGTTCAACCCTAAAACCTTGATCGGGAGCAGCCAGCTCGGGCATAGCAACACCTGTTTGTGAACTGGGGCCAAAGCTGCATTCCTTTTGAAAATTGGAATTGAGTCGCAGCGGCTGACCAGGCCAACTTTGTTTGGGCTGCACACAGCAAGCAGTGGCCTCCTTCAACAGCGAACATGGAAAGTTGCACGTGAGCCAGCGCAACACAATGTCAACTGCGGTGCCCAGAAACATCCACCAGCTGAATAGCCCGCAGGAATGGTGAGAGTAGCAGAAGCGCTTGCACATGATCTCCTGCGGTACGTATTGTGCACAGGCAACACAAGCGTGGCCCATCATGAAGGGCTGCGCTGGCGTCAGAGCAGTGTTCAATACATCAGAGGCAGAGCACACATCAGTGGCTGCAGGGTTACTTTGTGCACCATTGCTTGCAAAGTTGCGCAAACCACCGTGGTTTGATTGTGATCTGAGCAAAACAGCATGTACGATAGGAGTATATCAAAAATGCATATCGATTGACACAGCGTATGGGGCGCTCTATTGTCCCAAAAGCAACACCTCTGCATACAAACATCTGATTCAATCACGTGCGCTTCAATCACATGTAGATGTCAAGTTGAAGCACCCACCCTGGGAGGAACCCGTGTCGTCCTGCAGTCATGCACACCCCTGCCGCCAATGTATGTTGCCGCGCCGCCGTCAGGTTGCCACCACCGCCGCTGCAAGAACTCATCTGTGCAGCACGGCGTCATCAGAGACATCTCCCTTCCCGCCGCCAGCACCCGCCGGAGCGCTCGTGTAGGGCTGTCCACGCACGTTGCTGCCCGCTGGTGCCGCCCCCAGCACCGCGACGCCGAGGCCCAGGCGCCTGTCCCGGTCATCCCACCAGCGGCGCTTGACCCACAGCGCCACGTACACGAGGGCCAGCAGCACGGGCACCTCGATCAGCGGGCCCACGGTTGCCGCCAGCGCCTCTGAGCTCTGTAGGCCGAATGTGCCGACAGCCACAGCAATCGCGAGCTCGAAGCTGCAAATGCGCGCGGGGGTGGGGTGGACCGGGTTGATGGCGTGGTGGTGGTGTTGAAAGGCGTGCCCAGGCAATTGTGAGCCCTTGGTTTGCCGCGGCGGTGGCAAAATACAGGCTCAGGAAACTTGTGGTGGAGGTTCAAGCAGACACAAGCCTTGCGCCGATGCGCCCTGAGATGCTGGAGGCGCAAGCAACCTGGCTGCCCTGTTGTATTGGCGCCCTAAGTTCAGGGCGCCGTGTGCCAGTGCGTGAACGGCAGCGTGTTGTTCGCAGAGCCGCTGGGGGCCCCACTTCTCAACAGCAGACAGCCGCAAACCTCACACGG